GCTCACACCTATAATCCCAGCTACATGGGAGGCAGAGATTGAATGATCATCGTCTGAGACTTCCCCAAAGAAAAAGCATGAAGCCCTACTTGAAAAATGACTAAAGCAAAAAGGGCTCAAGTAGTAGAGTGCTTGCTTAGAAGCACAAAGCCCTGAGTTCAAACCCTAGTTTAAAAAAAAATAATAAATTTTATTTTGTGTGTATTTTTACCACAATTAAAAAGAAATAAATATGTTTTAAAGAGAGTCACTAAAAAACATCTTCCTGAGTGTTTTTGGAAGATGGACCTGGGCCTGCCAGTCTCAGTAGAGCTGCTCAGCTCTACTACTGCGTGACTCTGTCATTTACTTCCTCTTTTTTTTATTATTCATTTATTCACATGTGCATACATTGTTTGGGTCATTTCTCCCCCATGTCCCCCTCACCCTGTCCCCCCTTCCCCCCTCAGCTCCAGGCAGGTCCTGTTCTGCCTTTATCACTAGTTTTGTTGCAGAAAAGAGACAAGCATAATAACATAGCATTTTTGCTAGTTGAGTTGAGGGTAGCTATCCAGAAATGTTCCTAGCATTGCTTTCGTGTACCATGTTATATGACCCATGTTGATTCATCTCTGACTGATCTTTACCCTGGTTACTGATCCCCTTCTCATGATAACCTCTGTCACTTTAAGGTTTCTGTATTAGCTCCTCTGGAGTGGGGACATCAATCGCTTTCATGTTTTGGGTTTTCTACCTATTTTTATATCACCAAAATGTGCTCTCCCCTTGTCACGTGATCCACGTCCAACCACATTGCTGCATTTGCCCTAGATCTAAAGTCCGCATATGAGGGAGAACATAAGATTTTTGGTCTTCTGAGCCTGGCTGACCTCACTCAGAATGATGTTCTCCAGTTCCATCCATTTACCTGCAAATAATAAGATTTCATTCTTCTTCATGGCTGAGTAGAATTCCATTGTGTGCAAGTACCACATTTTCTTGATCCATTCATCAGTAGTGGGGCATCTTGGTTGTTTCCATAACTTGGCTATTGTGAATAGCACTGCAATAAACATGGGTGCACAGGTGCCTCTGGAGTAATCTGTGTTGTATTTCTTTGGGTGTATCCCCAGGAGTGGGATTGCTGGATCATATGACAGGTCTATGGTTAGATTTTTAAGAAGCCTCCAAGTTTTTTTCCAGAGTGGTTGCACCAGATTGCATTCCCACCAGCAGTGGATTAGGGTTCCTTTTTCCCCACATCCTCGCCAACACATGTTGGTGGTGGTATTTTTGATGATGGTTATTTTAACAGTGGTGAGGTGGAATCTTAGTGTGGTTTTGATTTGCATTTCCTTTATGGCTAGAGATGGTGAGCATTTTTTCATGTGCTTTTTTGCCATTTGAATTTCTTCTTTTGAGCAAGTTCTATTAAGTTCAGTTGCCCATTTCTTAATTGGTTCATTGATTTTAGGAGAGTTTAGTTTTTTAAGTTCCCTATATATTCTGGTTATCAGTCCTTTGTCTGATGTATAGCTGGCAAATATTTTCTCCCACTCTGTGGGTGGTCTCTTCAGTTTAGAGACCATTTCTTTTGTTGTGCAGAAGCCTTTAAATTAATTCAATTTTATGAAGTTCCATTTGTCCTTCCTTTCTCTTAGTTGCTGGGCTGGCTGCTGGGGTTCTATTGAGGAAGTCTTTGCCTATACCTATTAGTTCCAGAGTGTTTCCTGCTCCTTCCTGTAGTAACTTCAGAGTTTCAGGTCTGATATTTAGGTCCTTGATCCATTTTGAGTTGATACTAGTACAGGGTGATAGACATGGGTCTAGTTTCAGTTTCTTGCAGATGGATAACCACTTTTGCCAACAACATTTGTTGAAGAGGCTGTCATTTCTCCATCTTATATTTTTAGTGCCTTTGTCAAAAATAAGGTGTGCATAGTTGTGTGGCTTCATATCTGGGTCCTCTATTCTGTTCCACTAGTCTTCATGTCTGTTTTTGTGCGAGTACCATGCTGTTTTTATTGCTGATGCTTTGTAATATAGTTTGAAGTCAGGTATTGTGATACCTCCTGCATTGTTCTTTTTGCTGAGTATTGCCTTTGCTATTTGCAGTCTCTTGTGCTTCCAAGTGAACTTTAGAGTAGATTTTTCAATCTCTGTGATGAAAGTCATTGGGATTTTGATGGGAATTGCATTAAACATGTAGATTGGTAGTACAGCCATTTTTACTATGTTGAATAATGTTTTTACATTCACCATTTGAATTAAAATAATAATGAGGAGGCATAAGTTTTTGCTTTCCAAGCTGACAAAGATTTAAAATTCAATATTGAAAAGGGCTTAGGTCAACAATGTTCCCATAGGCCGTTGTGACACATCAACTGGGACAAGCTTTCTGCATGAGAGTTTGACAGTAACACCAACAGCTGCTCGCGCGCGCGCACACACACACACACACACAGTGCAGACACAGGCGCATATGCATGTGGTGTGTGCTTACATATCTGTGTGCATGTACATTTACATACCCTATACACGCACGCATGTCTCTATACACATCACACACACACATTCCTTGGTCTATTATTTTCACTCCAGGGAATAAATGTATGAAGCAAATATTTAGCAGAAATATTTAAAATAGGAAAATATTAGAACCAAAGTACATATGAACCAGTAGAAGAGTCATTTTTGTAAGCACACATTAATTGTACAATGTGATGGACTTCCTTGTGATGTAGCCACACGTTCATATAATATACTTTGATTATATTTACTCCTGCTGTTACTCCACCCCATCCCAGATGCCCGTCTTTTTAACCTATCTTGCAGTTTTTTGAAATGGGTTTCATTATGACTTTTTCATACATGCATTCAATGTACTTCCATCATATTCTCCCCATTGGTCCTCTCTTTTTCCCCCCTACCTCCCACTGGTCCCCCACCCCAATAGTCCCCCTTTTTTCTTTATTTTCTTTACTTATTTTTGGCAGAACTGGAGTTTGAACTCAGGGCTTCCTGCTTACCAGGCAGGTGCTCTATTCTTGAGCCATACCTCCAGCCCTTTTTGGTTTATTTTTCAGATAGGGTCTCATACTTTTTGCCTGAACCATGATCCTCCTATCTCTACCTCCCAAGTAGCTGAGATTATAGCTTTGAGCCACCATACCTGGCCTTTTTTTTTTTCTGTAGATCTAGATTCCATATGTGAAAGAAAGCACACAATATTTGTCTTTCTAAGTATGGCTTACTTAGTTTAACATGATGCTCTCTAGTTCCATCCATTTTCCTGCAAATAATGTAATTTCATTCTTCTTTATGGCTGAATAACACTCCATAGTGTATATATATTATATTTTCCTTATCCATTCATGTGTTGATGGCCATCTAAGCTGATTCCACAGCTTGGCTATTGTGAATAGTACTACAATAAGCATGGGTGTGCAGTCTTAAGTGAAGTTAATCAGGTTCAGAAAAACAAAGGTTGCATGTTTTCTCTCATATGTGGAAGACAGATTCAATGCAAACAGAAGCATTATCAAATACACATATAAATATATAGAGAAAATGTTGCCAAAAGTGGGACTGTTAGAGGAGGCTAAGAGAGGAGGAAAAGAAGAAAAGAATGAGAGTGAGTGAATAATATTGAAATACATCGCATCTATATAGGAACAAGACACAAAAAAGCACACTGAAAACTGTTGAACAATACAGGGTGGTGGTGGGGGCAAGGGGAGGAAGAGCAGTGGAGGGCATTAGATGATTTAAGCACAATATAATTACAGAAAAATGCCAAGGCAAAATCCCCACTGAACAATGCTGAGTCACCCAAACAATGGACAGGAATGTAGAATAGGTTGTGTTGAGGGGAGGTTGCTAGTGGGAGGGGAAGAGAGAATGAAGAGGATAAAGGAGGGTGAATATGGTTGAGGTACTTTCTATACATGTATGAGTATGGCACACTGAAGTTATTTTAAGGGAAATGGGGTAGGATGGAGAATAATGGAGGGGATGTACCAACCCGGGATATAACATATATATATATGGAAATGTCACAACAAAACCTCCTTTTTAACTATCATATACTAATAAAAGTGTTAAGAAATAAAAATAGAAAATTTCTCTCCTCAGAAAAGAAAGAATGTATATGCCTCTCTTATGCTGACTTACTTTCCTATGAGAAGAGGCACATATCCTGGTTCCTCCGTCCAGAGGGATATTTTGTAGTAATTAAAAATACTAGTGTGGGAGAGCAGTTTTTCTCCTTGGAAAAACTTGGAGTTTCCAAGTGCCTTGGAGCAAGGGAGGCCTCCCTCCTGAGGGACACAGTCAAACCTACAGAGGAGAAGGACACAGCCAAAACTACAGAGTTTGTTTCACAGAGGCTCCCAAGTCATCTTGATGCTCCTCACTAAACTAAAAATCACTAACTAAAGAACATAGCTGTTGGAACAGAAAGATGTCTGGGCTACATTGATTGAAGCAGGTGAGCTATACGATATCACTTTTATAAATTCTGTACATGTAAGGAAAAAATATAGAACATACAGCAAGATGCTAACTACTTTTCTCTAGGTGATGGTACTGCAGGTTACATTCTCTTGATTTTTGCCTAATTTTCTGAATTTTCTGCTTTTCTATGATGAGTACGTATTAACTGTGCAGCTTATTAGAATAAATTTTTAAGCAAGCATGGGCAAAAATAGGTTAAAAGTAAATTTGCAAAAAAAATTAGGTTTCGTTTTATTTCCTATAAACTATTGAATTCTGCTGTTTTGAAATATGGCAAACATTACTAGTAAATATTTTTAAAATTTTTATATCGTCTTACATCTGAAGAAATGCGATATTGTGACTATTTTGATTTTAAGAAGGATTAAAAACCAGGAGACAAATTTGAGGGCCTTTATAACATGTGATGGTGTCAATTGTAGCTTCTATCAGTGACTGACCTTAGTTTTTGTTGTTGTTGTTTTTTAACCTAGCATGATTGAGCTTAATAACTTACTGACACAAGAATGCAATTTCAACTGACCCTTTTTTTGCACCTTGGTGAGTATTTGCTGTGAAAATCCATTTTTTTATTATATTCCATTGTCTACTACTAAAAAATGTAGTAGAAGTAGCCTTTTAAGTATATCCACTTATTTTTCTATGCTACTATGTTTGCATGGCTACCCACAGTATGACTGTGTCAAACAACTGGAAAATTCCACACATAGCTTTCAGTTGCCCCTTACTGGAATGCTATCACTAGCAGGTAAGCAGGTAATATAAGATACTAACGAACACTGAGTAGTTCCAGATTCTTAATTTATAAATACAATGCCCTCCCTTGTTTTTATTTATTTGTTTTCTTTTTTGCAGTGCTGGAGTTTGAACTCAGAGCCTTACACTTGCTAGATAGGCAGCTCTACCACCTGAGCCACTTCCCCAGCCTGCCCCACTCCCTGTCTTTCTTAAATAGCTTTGCTTTGAATATAACGCCTTTCCCAGTAATGAGGTCTTGTGAAGAATTCACAGGCAATATTCCCTCCTCTAAGTAAGCAGCTAAAAGACCACATTCTCCATGCTTCTGCTGTCTTTAATAAGCTGAGAATAATTTGCATTAATCATAGAGAAGATGGTTCCAACAGTGACTCTTTGATCCTGACTTTTCTGTGACAGCCCTGCCTTTAGTTACTAAGTCCTCATCAATTGCTCTGAGTCTTCAAAGAGTCCTGCTGAATTTCTTCTAGGCAGCAAACTTTCAGAATCTTGCCATTTCATTTTGTAATTCCCAAACCTTGAGGTAATTTCCCAGTTAGAATTGCTGGTAATGGAGGCCAGAAGGACAGCTCCAGATGGTGAATGTTCTTTTGTTCTCTGCTGGGAGTTCCCTGCCACAGAGAGGCACAGCCTCAGGCCAGTGAAGGCAGAGACGCCAGAGTCATCTATGGGCTCCATCTGTACTCTACTTCCCAGGACCATGGGGCTTGAATCTGGCCCCATACTGTCAAAAAAAGAGTTGTTCTAATCTACAGCTGCCTTGGGAGTTCTCTTTGGAATTAAACTAGTATCCCAAACCAAAACGACCACTGACAATCACTTCACCTTCTCCCTTCTGTCACTTACACCTTAAAAAAGTTCAAAGCCACTCTTGGTTGCTGAGCCACGATCCCTTCTCTCTTTGTGGGACAAACCTTCCAAACTAAATTAGCTTTGGCAGAAAAGGCCTCACTTTAGTGGATCCTGGATTCTTAAACCTAAGCTTACCCTTATCAAAACCTAGTCTCTAGGGTTGCTTCAGGTCTAACTCACAAACCCCATGGCTCACACATCCTCAGCACGGGTGATTTCTGGTGCATAGTTTGCCCACATCATCATTGGACATTTTGCTGATTGGTAGTTTGACTGTAGACATTTTATAAATATTGGGGCCCCTTTGAACAATTTGCCTTGCATTCTGACTCAGGAAGAGAAGGAAAAAGAACCATAAAAAGTGCATTGGCCCTTAGGTTTTAGAAATTGTATGCAGAGTATCAACCTTATTTAACATGTGCTCCTTGTCGCCCTAATGATTAATATGTGTGGGTATATAAATGTGTGTGTTCACATCCTCTAAAACACTGAAATGAACTCAAAAGTATATATACATGATTAAGAAAATTACAATGTACAAAAAATGCTAAATAGAAAAATTACATAATGAGTTATTTCTGCAGTTGATCCTTCATTCTACAGAAAATTTCCTGCACATTCTCTTTATATGACCAGACCTCCTGGATTCATTTAAATAGCATTCTGTCTTCATGTTGTGTGTCATTTTTGAGCAATGCATTTTTGTCCAAAAGATATAAACATCTTTATTCCCTGAATCGATTCTAACCTGTTGCTAATGTGATAATCTGGCAGTTCCCATCTTGAGTCCAAGAAAGATACTGCCAAATCTATGTTCAGGTCTGAAGCTTTAATTATGTGTATTTCTAGCCATTTTGTGTCAAGTGTTGTAGACTAAAGTTCATATTTGCACTTACTATTACAGAAATAATACTTCAATTTCTGCAAGTCTTGGAATATTTTTTTCTGAAGAGTGCTCATCTGATCAAAACAAGTTTGGCCAAGTCAAGTTATAAAAACATGTTAAATCTCTAAGGCAAAAATTCCAATAAAATAATTCAGGATGTAACTTGCCTAAATGAATAAATCCCCAGAAGGGAAATCTTAGTTAATCACATTAGCATCAGCAGAACTATTATACCTGACCTTCTTTTTTTAAAAACTCCGCCCATTGGAATCCGAATTTCTGAACAGTTATTTATCCTGGATGCCAATTCCAGGAAATAAAATAAGATGTGGTTTGGGTTGTTGGATGAATAAAAGAAAAAGTCCATAGTAATCTAGGATAATTTATTAGACCACAAAAAAGTATAAGCTGGAGCTAACTCTTTTCACATAACTAGCTCAAAGAAAGAGAAGGAAATGTGGTGCCTTTGATTTCGAATAATAATCTTTACAGGCAGGTTGAGGATAGACAGTCCCCTGCTGGAACTACAATTTAGTAACTGTGGGAAAGGAGACATCATGTCCCATCTTCGCAGTGTAGAATTCATGAGCTATCTGGATAAGTTTCATGTCTGCTATTTACTACAAAATGACCACATTAATAAGACAGTTTGTGTGGAGAGTGTGTACATAAAAGAAAGAATTTGATTTTTAATAGTCTATATTTTTGGAGATCAAGATGAAAGAAAGAAATCCATTATATGTAAGACGAGTATATGAAAACAATCTTTCTTTATACTTTACAACTGAGAAGTCTGAAGAGAAGCAAAACTTATTTCAGAGCACGGAAATTATTTTTCATTGTAGACCCATCCCTCTCACTCCTGTCTACCAAAATGAGGGCTTGGCATAAATTTTCACATCTCAAGGGAAAACTACATAAGAGCAGCTGGAATATGTCATGTGTGAGATTAACTTTGTTCATCGTCCAGAGGCTGATGGGTGTTTGCAGGAAGGGTGTTTGTTTACTTTTTATTTTGAGATCATTGTAAGTGCACACACAATTGTAAGAAATAAAACAGAGAACTCCTGTATACCCTTCATCTAATTTTCCTCAATGGTGACATCTTGCATAACTGTCGTACACTGTCTCAACCAGGAAACTGACATTGATAGAATACACTGACCTTACTCGCATTGCACCATTTTTACACGCATTCATATACATGTATCCATTTAATTCTGTGCCATTTATCATGTGTATACATTCGTGTGACCATCACCACCACCACCATCAAGATACAGAAGTTTCAGGGTGGGGGCATGGCTCAAGTGGTAGAATGCTTGCCTAATACTGAGTGTGAGGCCCTGAGTTCAAGCCCCAGTACCACAAAAAAAGAATCCAGATGTTTCATCATCTAAAGTGTCCCTAGTACTACTCACCTTCCTAGCTTCTGACAGCCATGAATCTGTTCTCTGGCTCTATAACTTTGTCATTTAAAAATGTGATGTAAATGCATTGTGCAGTGTATAATAACCTCTTCTCAGTCAGCATAATTCCCATGAGATCCATCAAAGTTGTTGCTTGTACCACTGGTTACCCATGGTTTGGTTATCAGTTTTTGTCCCTAAACTGGGTCCTTCTTCCCTCTTAGAATTGTGGAACCAATAACAAGAACTTCTGTTGTTGTTGTTGTACTGGGGGTACAATGTGACATTTACAAAAGCTCTTACAATATATCTTAGATTCACCACTCCATCATTCTCCTTTATCCCTCCTCCTCTATTCCTGGAAGAGTTCAACAGGCCACATTTTTCCATTTACATATATGAGTACATAATATTTCTACCATATTCACCCCCTACACCTTTTCCTTACATCCTCCCTCCCACTGCTACCAACAACCCCTCAGACAGAACCTGTTTTTCTTTCCTGCTCTCCATTTTTAACAATTCAATTTAGCAGTGAAGGAGACTTTTATTCTTGGCCAAGAAAGGAGAGACCAACTCACAAATCTGCCTCTTGACCTTTCGGGGGTTGAGAGTATAATCCATATCTATAATGATATGGAGTGGAAGAAATGAGGGAGGTGGGCTAATAAAGGGGAAAATGTTCATGTCTTTTCTGGGAACAGGTGGAGATTTTCTGGGGATTCGTGCACTGACTCTTTTTGCTTCTTTTATGGTTTTTAGTCATCACCATAGCAATTATCAACTGTCATAGAACTGGAAGATGTGTCATTTAGCATACCTAGAAGTTGTCTGTGGTCACTCAGGCAGCTGTCTTAGAGCCAACCAGTTTCAACCACAGGCTTCCTGTTCTCAATGAGAGCAAGGAGAAATTCAGTAAAACCACCTAGGCAGTACTCAGGGTAACAATTTGCTCCTTTTTATCAATAAATTCTATTCCATAATATGGATTTACCATACCTTGTTTAATCATCCATTCATTGAAGAACACTTAGGTTGTTCTCAGTTTTTTGGCAACTACAAATAAAGATACCATGGATGTTTGCACACAAGTTTTTGTGTGAACATAAGTTGTAATTTGTCTGGGATAAATACCTAAGAGTGCAACTTCTCAGCATAATTTTGTAAGAAACCACAATACTTTTCTCAGAATGCCTGCAACCTTTATCTGTCTCCTCCAGGGATGTACAGAAGATCCAGTTTTTTCACATCCTCCTTTAACATCTGGGTTATCACATTTTTTATCTTAACTATTCTGATAGGCACATAGTAATAACTTATTATGGCTTTGGTTCACATTTCTCTAATGATTGATAATGTTGAAATCTTTTTGTGTGCCTATTTATTGTCAATATGTCTTCCTCAGTGAGATGTCTGTTTATGTTACTTGATATTTTTTCCTTTGTTATTGGTGGTGTTAGTGCTGGTGGTGCTGCACAGGGGCCCCGATTTGTTTTTTAATGTTGAGTTTGGAGAGCTCTTCATAAATTCTAGACAAAAGAGTTTATTGGTATTCCCATAGCTTTTTCACCTCCTCATAAGCTTGTTCTCAGAGTAAAAGTTTTTAGCTTTGATAAGGCCTAATTATTCAATTTTTCCTTTTGTGTACCATGCTTTTGGGTTGATTTTTAAAATTCTTTGCTTATCCCTAAGTCCCCAAAATTTTCTCCAACATTTTACAGGACTTTCATAGTTTTACACATAAGTCTGTGATCCATTTTGAGTTACTATTGATGCAGTGTGATGTGATATTTTGCTAAAGGATGTTTAATTGCTCCAGCAGCATTTATTGAAAGGTTGTCTTTCCTCCTTTGAATTGTTTTTGCACCTCAAAAATCAGTTGGCCATATTTGCATTAATCTATTTCTGGATTCTTTATTCTGGTCCATTGATCTACCAACATCACACCTGATATTTATTGTAGCTACATGGCAAACTTTAATGTCAGGTAGTGACATTTCCTTTTTTTTTTTTTTTTTTGAGCTATTTTAAGTCCTATGCCCTTCCACTCAAAGGCCATTTTATTTTTTACAAAATCACCTATCTACAATTTGAATTTTAATGAAGAGAAAAACTAATACCTAGATTATGGCCTCCAGAATCAAGCAGGATTCTAACACTTTAATATTGTCCCATTCAAATACACCTTTTATAAGAAGAAACACAACTCTTTCTGTAAATAGCTGTCTACAAAATATCACAGTAGACTGTAATACTATGTGCATTAAACTTTATATATGTGCTAACTTTAGATCTTAACTCTAATAAGATTCTCCTTCATTTTCATCAAGCTTCCCAACAATTAGTCAATCTATTAATGTTATTGCTTACAAAAAGTTTAATACATAACACAATGGAGAAAATTCTATAAGCAAGAATTAGTTCAGGCTACCCTTCCCATCCCAGTTGCACATATAGGTATTTAACAGTTAACTTGGAATGATTAAAATGCTTGTCCATGTGGACATAGATTTTTCTTTTGTTTCCCTTTTATCTAACTTGATAGCTCTCAAATATTTATCTTAAGATTTGTGTTCATAAGTCCATGTATGTTGTACTGTGTGGGCAATTTATGAAATGTTCTAGAACGATTTTTATCACATGTCACTTACAGCTTATATTAATTTCTGAAATTAAACTTTAAATTAGTGTTCAAGCAAGACATGGTAATTCCCCACTTCCAGAATTGAAGCATTTTTAGTAAGTTAAGACACTTAAGTAAGATGAAATTTAGTATTTCCCAAAGTGTTTTCCTAGTGTTGCATGGAATATTAATCTAAGCTTTATAAAAATGTCTTCCATGAAATAAATTTGAGAAATTCTAAACTATAAAGATATCTGTTTTTGTTTTTTCACAGAAGCATTTGAAGAGACATTAGCAACAAATGTCGATTATGAAGACCTAAGAAAGGGATATAGGATGCAGCATCTCCCAAATTTTTTGTCCTCTGCATCTTTTTTTGAGGAGCATTCTGCTGATCTAGAATCCAATTCAACACATTTTTGGAAGCACTTCACTTTAACCAAGTCTGTAATTTGAATAAACTGAGACTCAAAAATTATTACATTTAATGTCACCTAACAAAGTTGGAGTAACTCATCATATGTTAGTAAACTTAAGGATCTGATACTTCTTGACCCAATATTAAGTAATCATATAAATATCTAAATATAGTTATATCAAATATGTTAAATAAACATATAAATATCTAACTATAGCAAGGTATTTACCAACCTGTCCATTCTGTCACTCTGTAGTCTAACCCTGGTTCTATTGTAGACTTGAATGAAGCAATATTTTTTTCTAATTCAATGTCAGTTTCTCCTTGAGGTCAAATTTTACTTGGAAATATACAAAGTTAGAGTTTTGATTCAGATTGTTTTAGATGTCTTGATATCAAAAGGATTTATTGGTGTTTTCTTCCTCTGTCTCAAGAAAGAGAAATACTTGCCTGAATTTAAAACCCCCAACCTGTCCAGATCCTCTGCTTAGAGCTTATGATCCTTTTTTCCATTATATAAAAATATTTTTAAGAAATAAAAAACGGCTACTCTATGGACTTTTTCCAATCAATGGCAACTGACTTTTAAGTCACATAAGTTCCCTTCCATCACCCCTCCTTTTCTATATGACATTTAGGACGTAATTGTGTTTTATATTATTCATTATTATTACTACTACTATTTGATGGTAGTTTGGTAAGCTAGAATCTTAATACACTTATAATTTTTCCATCATATAATTTTTCATATGAATGGTTCCAAGTTTGCTTGCTGGGTGGTATTAAGTGAGACCATTTTTGAATCTCAATTTATTGAAATTACACATTTGAATCAAATATAAGTACTTCTCAATGTACTGAATTGAATTCTGATATAATACTTATATATTTCTCTAGGACTTAACATTTAAAACAGGTAGAATTTTAAAAATAGTTTTTAAACAGACTCATGATATCTTAAAGACTACACATGAACAGGAAAGGGGAAAACCGAGGTGACAATTGTGGTGGTGTTCCTCCTGCAAGATCACTGGTGACCAAATCCCTTCATGTCAGACATGTTGGACAGCAAGTTAAAACAGGCTAAGTTTGACACACGGACTGGACTCTGCCTCTCACTTTAACCCAAAGGAGCATGCTTCTGCCCACGGTGTATCTGACAAACAATTTGGGTTATAAAGGGGTTCAATTGAATTTACATATTTTAAGAGAAAGTTGTTTCCCAAAGGTTTCTTAAATTCTCTCGTTTCTTTCATGCAGGTTGGACAAACAGACGTCACTGACAGGGTTAGGAGTCTCCTTCCTTAAGTCTATACTTCACTCTTCATTATTTGCCCTAAAATGCCACACAAAGAATTCCCAGTAAATGGAGGCTGTCTCAGATCAGGTTTCCTCAATCAGCATGTGACTTATTGAGCGTGCTCTCTCCAGTAAGAGGTGGAGAGTGTTGGGCACAGGCTGTGGTCCCAGCTGGAGTAAGGCTCCAGCCAGATGCCAGAGGAGGCACTGAGCATGAATCGCACCATGGAGTTGATCCCAGCTCCATCAGCCATAGGCTACGGGCTGCCCCAGATGGGAGAAGGAATGCAGATGGTATCCTCTCAGAGGTTGGGGATTTCAGCCAGGCTGAGAGCACCAGCAGCATCCACAAGCATGAGCTTAAGGATCCACAGAACCAGTATTAAATGTAAATAAGCTGGATGCATGGCTCAAGTGGTAGAGCACTTGCTTAGCAAGCACAAGGCCCTGAGTTCAAACCCCAACACACCAAAAAAAAAACAACAAAAAAAACAAAACATAAAAGTAAATCAACTGCTAACTTTCCAGCTTAACCAGTTGCTTCTTGAGGCCTTGTGCTATCCTTGGGCTACCTTCTATGTAGCTGTTTCTGTTGTGTTCAAGGATGGCTCAGTTGCTTGAAAGCTCAAGATGAATGCAGCAGGGGTGCCTGCCGTCCTACCCCAGGCAATCTCCTTGTGGGACGTAGCACACAGCTTACAGCATCCTCTACCTGCGGGCTGAATGGAGCCCAGAAATACTGCATCCTCAGCTACCTAGAGGTGGGTGGTTCCTTGTTTACTGACTGGATATTATGTAATCAGTGATGTTGACTTTTCCTGTATGCATGGACCACGGAGACAATACTACAGACGAGACAATGCTCCTCCCTGAACTGACACAGGAAGTGTAATTCAGTCTAGGAGACCTTGACTATTCAGAAAACATGGAAGATCTGCCTAATTTCTATTTGCTGTTATCTTCAAAATTAAAAAAGTCTTGTTGGCTCAAACTTTGAAGGGAATTACTATAAACTCTTCAGTCTACTTGGCTGCCATAGTCACTCCTATAGAGCAGAACATAATTGACTCATTCCGTGGAGATCAAAGACCTCTCAGGCCCTCGAGGTCATGGTGCTGACCAGGAGTTCCCATTGCTCTGTTTTAGATGGATAAAGGGAGGTGTAGAACTCTAGATGGATTGTACACCAACCTCATGATACCACTTCGAAGTTGTATTGCCTCAAAACCATAAATTTCCAGTGCAACCATATTTTTGTGCCAATATCCAGATTTAGTAGAGAGCCAGTGGCTTCCTTCTTGTGCACTGGCAGCAGAACAAGCATCCAAGGTCATCTGTGTGTCATACCTGCTGAAAACCCTGAGGCCATCAAGTCCGCCCCTTCAATGAGAGGATGTGCAGGAAGGAAGTTGGACATATGCCTAACGGTAGGGGCCAGGCTTTTCCATGTATTGTTTATTTAAGGCAACCTGTTTAGGTCTCTAGGAAGTGCATTGTATTCTAATTGGTTTCTAGTAAAAGATGATGATTATAAATAAGTGGAGACAATACTTGGGTGCTTAGCACTGTTCTAAGTTTGGGAAGTACTTATGTAAGAGAGTGAGGTCTCTACATTTGCAAGGAAATTACATGATGGAAGTTGTGCTCAACACCAGGCCAGGTGGGATGGATGCTCCTTCAAGTGACTTTACTACGTCCAGGTCCAGTGAACAAAAATGTAGTTCTCAACTCTAACATTAGAAACTTAATTTGTTCTTCAACCTCTGGCATTTCTTACTGTTGTCACGAGCCAACATAATCTGATAAAAACTAGAAAGTGTGTTGTTCTATCTCAAAGTTACACCACCAAAGAATAAGAGCCAGTCAAAAAATTAAAGGCTTATTTCGTCTACAGAATGACAGAAATCTTAGAAAACTTAGAGCTGAGGAAAGAAAAACCTTAAAATATTTCAGGTTGACAAGTATTAGCGGTGGATCTGCAGTTATTAGTCTAGGTAAATATTCGTGCAGCATAGAGAATGATTTTCCCCACTTCATGTTCTAAGAAATAGCTATCAAGCAAAACATATTCTTCAGAGTCTACAAGTCAACACTGACTGACTGCATTTCCCAAGTTGCTACTACCATACCTATTGGCCACAACTAAACATCCTCTGCTGTCCTTCCACTGAAGACCATGCTTCTAAAATATTTATAGAACAATAACCTATATAACCTAAAGTTAGACATTTCCCCAGTAATTTTCATAAGATTATTGGAACTACTTTGAAGACTTGGCACCTGTCAATGGGCATCACAAGATTTCTGGTTATCTCTAGAGCCTGGGACAAGCCCGCTCATGTACAGAATTGAGCTAGCATTGACTGGGACTTAATTTTCAAAGGACATTTTGATTTTCTTCCACAATAACTTAGGGTGGCCAGTGATTCTACAATGCACTGATTATCCAGATCTCATGACGGGCTGGTTTACTTTGACAGACCCCAGCTGAAAACAATCATTAAAATCCTCACCCATTCCAGTCAACAAATTTTACTGAGCAGCTATTATATCCAGATGCTATTCTAGTTAATAAGGATATAGAAAGAAAAAGACCTTGTCCCCCTTTAACTTCTAATTCAAATTCAGATTCGAATTCAAATTCGAATGACGGAGACAGACAATAAATCAGCAATGATCTACTATAGCCTCCAACACAGACAAGGACTCAGCAAATACATAAAATAGGACAGAGTGGCAGAATGACACTTCCCCACCTCGTTTTAGATTTGAAAGTCAGAGAAGGATTTTGGAGAGGCTGGGACCTGAAAGAAGGGAAAGAGCAAGAGACATGAGTATTTGGAGGGGAGAATAGCTTGTGATAAGACGGGTTCTTGGTGTGCTTGAGGAAGAGCAAAGTAAGTATAGCTGGAGCTGAGTGAGCCAAGGGACGACAGATGGAAGTAAAGGCAAAGTGACCCCACTCAGACCATGCTGGGTGTGGAAACCATGGTAAGGACAGATCAGACAGAGTTTTCCAAGTACCTGCTGGCTGAGGACCCATGTTGTAGGTGATTCCTGGCAGCGAAGCTTGTAAATAAATAAATAAATAAAGTTTGTAATAAATAAATTCCTAGAAGTGCTGTAAAAAACTCTCCTTCTGAGTTCCCCAAGGATTAGCTGAAAAATGACTATGCAGGTCATTGACAGTCCTTTGGAAAACTTTGTAGAGTCCCTTAGGAGTTTAAGTGCAGCTACAAATGGACAAACTAATTAAGCAGGCTTAAAAGCCAGGCTTTGGTTTGGAGTTCCAGTTCACTACTAAGGACCGTCTGGTTCCGTAAGACAGGAGGGTGAGCCTCTCTGATGTGAATTTAATGGAAATCCTTTTCACAAGTGTGAAATAAAGATTTGGGTCATGAAAGCTTTTCTATCAAAAAAAATGTAAAATCTAAAGAAAAAGGATGCTAGTGTCAGATAACCCAGTATCCAACTATTTCATTTAATTCCTGCCAAATATTCCTGTTTTGGCAAAGGGGAAAAAGTATACCCTCAGTATTTCTGAACAGCTCAAAATAACTTCCAGAGTATCTGCCTTTATATGAGAGAGAAAATTAATTCAAGATAAATTCAAGCTTTTGTCTCAAATTTATAAATTTAGAAAATGTCTAGGTCATAATTTAATTTGTTATTGTATTTAAGCACCTATTGATAGAAAAAGTAAAGTCTTGTTATTTCCTCTGCTTTTTATTTTTAGCCAGATTGGAAGATAAATACAGTAAGTGCAGCTTGTTTTCAAATTCAGATCAACAATAAGGAGATGCAATTCTTTATTTTTAATTTTAATGATGTGTTTTCCAGGAGGAACAAAAATGCTTCCTCTGTGACTCTCAATTTCCATACAATCCGTACACCCAACCGAACAGCCATACAATTGAGAATGTAATTAGGAGCTTTGAACCAGACAGAGAAAAGAAATGGTGGCAATCTGAAAACGGTATGACCAAGTTCCTTTCCAATTTTTTATTTCTTCATATTTTAATAAGACACCTTTCTCCTTGTATGGTTTTAACAATGTCACAGCAAGATGTTATTCACCAAAAAATGTGGAGCTTCCTGTAAGAACAAAATTTATTTTTATTTTAAGAAAGAGTATTTTTCTTTAGAGAAATCAAAGTATATTTTAAGAACATAATGCTGAATGCTTCACTGTTTCCATGTGAGTGAAGAAAATATCTGAATCATTTTGTTCTCTGTGAAAACTAAGAATATTTATGAAGTGTTAGTAAATTAAGGCTAATACAAAACACACTGCTATAAACTGAATAAGGCCAGCGGAGAGCTGAGAATGAGCACCAGGTGCTTTTCCCTCTTCAACACACAAAGGGAAAGAGAGAAGGAATGGTTTGCTTCCCAGTGCAAGCCAAAGATCTTAATATCAAATTTGAGCTAAGAATAACTAGTTACCGAAGATCTTTCCTTCCTGGAGTTTTGCCCTTCTGTGTTCATGAACTGTGACGGTGGCCATGATTATCTGTATTTCTTAGATGCCCACTTTAAGTGTGGATCCAAGAGGGATTTACTTTGTCCCACCCCAACCTTCAGCCTTCAATACCAAAATGCCTGTGGGCCTCCCCATTGGAGGCTTCCTCACTCACTGTGACCCCTCTTCAACACTGGTCTTCAACACTTGATCACAAAAGTATTCCACTCACATCTCTGTGCTGCACTTTGTGCTCCGATATCTCTGTTGTCTTCAGACTTCTTAGCAGGTTTCTTTTAGGGCATCCTAGGCCATTAAACCAAAGTGACAAATAGTCATGCTATGTAAGATAGTTTAGTACAAGCATAATATGAGGCTGGTTTTTGTCATCCAGTTGACAAACGCATGACTAGCATCTACAACCCACCATCTCATTCAAAATCCTAGTTATTATTTCTAGTTGGACTCTCCTTAATGTGTATGAGATGATTTCACTGCAGCCCCTATCTTCACTGATGTCTGGTGCTATTAACAGCTATTCTGTCCACATGTTCAATCTTTGTTCCACCTCTCACAATGGGAATGTCCCTCTGCCAGGGCTGATGACACAGAACGAAGGTTCTCAACCACGAACTTTAGAGAAGGGAAGTAGATCTCCTCTTAGAAAGGGTCAGGAGCCCTGAACACAACCCTGGTACGTGGCTGTGGGGTAGCAAACACCACCACCCCACCCCAGGTCATTTTCCCTAGAACTCTAAGCCAAACCCAATTCACAGCAGCCCAACCACTGTTGCCCATAGCTGCACTGCCCAGTCCCGGGGCCCCTAGCTGCACGTGGCTACCGAGCCCTTGAACCATAGCTAATCCAAACTGAGATATGCCATCAACATGAAAACATCCCAGATTTCCAAAATGTAACCTGGAAAAAATATGTAACAAAGCATTACTAATTTTTACAGTGGTGATTGCATGTTGAAATGATAACGTTTTTAATATATTGGTTTGAACACATTAATAAGACTAACTCTGCTTCTTTTTCCTCTGTTAAATGTACTACTAGAAAATTTTAGATTACATACATGACTCAAATCCTACTTCTGTTGGGCAGCATTGCTCTAGAGAGACCGGAGCAGTGTCCAGGTGGGGGCAGATGTTCAGCTGAGGAGCTCAAGACAAAGTCCCGGCAGGACTTTCATCATATCATAGAGGAGCCCTCAAATCCTCCAAGGGGAATGTTCCAAGCTTGTGTTTTATGCCAAGTGACAAAAATCTAGCTCAAGTGACTGTTAGCAGCTGTTGGGAGGAAGGGTGTGTTGATTTACCATGCTCTGGCTTACTTGCTCCTGTTTATGTGCAGCGGAGGATTTGAGCACAAAGAAATGAAGCCTCTTTTCACCTATGGGAAATGGCCCAGAACTCCCTTGGGAATATGCAATACTGCCACACTGTGGCCGTGTGTGTTGCCGCCAAGATGTGTATGTGGACAAACAGCAAAAGCTAGCTCTCACATAGTTCTCCTGCACATAGAGTGACATGGGACACCAGTCCACAGCCTGGGAAAGAGTGTGGGCCACCAGTCATGTGATTTCAAAGGGCTTTTTATTATAGATAAGCTACAAAGGGGAGTTAACAAGATATGCAGGGATCTCTGAAAACCATTGATTTTCTTCTTTCTGGATTTTTCTTTAGGTCTTGATCATGTCAGCATCAGATTGGACCTAGAGGCATTGTTTCAGTTCAGTCACCTCGTACTGACCTTCAAGGTACAGGTGGACAGGGTTTGCTGCCCTCTTTACCGACTCCCCAAATGTTCACTTCCTGGCTTCCTTACAGAGGACAAAAACCAAAATAAGTCTAGACTCAAGTTTTGTCACCTGGATTTTGTTCTTGAATTAATTTTAAAAAGAACATTGCTTGTTAGTTAATGACCAATATGGTTAATGAAAAAATCTCAGAAGACAGAGGAAAGAGAACCTCTAAGAACTAGGTTGATAGGGACCATAGGTCTAGAAAGATAGTTTTCAAGAGAAAAAGACGAGAACTGGAACTTATTTGGGAAAAGACTGTGATCAAGAGGGGAAGAAAAATTAGCCTTTACTAAACTTAAATGCCAGAGGGAATAATGTTCTACAGTCTTTCGTAATCATTCATCAGGGAGGAGCAAAAAAATACATAATCATTCATCAAAATTCTAACTTTGATGTCAGGCCTGGTACTAGTTTTGGTAATAAAAAATGAATATAAAATAAAAACTAATCAACAATGAAAATTATCACCCATCTTTGCCTCTAAAGAATTCACCATCTACTCTTGAATACAGACATCTTAGTAGAAAGTTATAATGGAGAGTGATAAATGCAGTAATAGAGGTATTATTAGAATGCTGGGGAATTTAGTTAAAGGAGCTAAATCAGGATAACTTTCACAGATGAGTTTCAAAGGATGTATAAGAGTTTGCCTGAGGAAAAGTGTTCTAGACAAAGAATCACAGCAAATTATTGTGAAACATTAATGACATTGACTTTTTTATTTATATGCCATGTTTCCTTACTTAATAATTCACACAGCCATATTCAAAATGTAATTAGGGAATACATACATATCCACCTATTGGAATAAGATCTAGGTGTGTCTATTGTACAGTAGACTTTTAAAGATACACATAAAGTTTGAAAAGCTAGAATTAGTAAATAAAAAATGCAATCCAAAGTGATAATAAAATCTGCTTTTGTGAACCATTATAAGCGTTACTTATTATTTTCAGACTTTTCGGCCTGCTGCAATGTTGGTAGAACGGTCCACAGACTACGGACACACCTGGAAAGTGCTCAAATATTTTGCAAAGGACTGTGCTGCCTCTTTTCCTGACATCACATCTGGCCAGGCCCAGGAAGTGGGAGACCTTGTTTGTGACTCCAGATATTCAGATATTGAACCCTCAACGGGTGGTGAGGTAGCCTTTCTCTCCTTGGATTTCTTTTATTGTAAATTAATATTTTAATGTGATTAACTTAAATTTTAAAAGAAATTTAGGTAGTATTTACTGAAATGCAACTTGAGCTGTCAGTTTTTTAAAAAATGAAAATGTCTAAATGGAAATGAATCCTGATAAATTATCAAAAATAACCATGTACAAGAGTGAACAGGACTACAATCTACACTGTACACTGGACACTCAGAGGAAGGAAAAAGCACCTGTTTCCAACCCTTGCCAAACAGCTACACAGCTGGCAGCATCCCTGGGTTAGCCATTCTGTACCCATGTTCTGTAAACCACCACCCAGTGGAATCTCCAGGAGAATCCGTCTCTTTGTCAAAGCTGGTGAGCAGTACAGGGTCGGGTGGGAGAGGGGATGGAAGGTACTATATTATCAGGTAGAGCAAAAAGATTTGGTGGCAGAAGACAGCTCCAGAATTCCCTGGCAGATCTAAGTTGGAGAATGGCTCTTTGGATTGTCTGCCACTCATCTAATCTAATTGATGGCCCTGTTCAGCAATGTATCTCCAGTTCTGTCTGTTTGGACACGCATGCATCAAGAGCCAGCAGCGATGCTGAATCCCCTCCATTCATCTTTGTTCTTGGTATTTTCATTCATATAGCATCCCAAATGACAACTGATATTCTAAACCATTGGGGAGGCAATGATCCAGGCTTCTTGCAAGGACAAGATTTCCTTTAAGAGAAAATCAATTATGTTTTGGGGTAATCAATTATAAGTTTAACTATATTTGTCTTACAGGTTGTTTTAAAAGTTTTGGATCCCAGTTTTGAAATAGAAAACCCTTACAGCCCTCATATCCAGGGTATGAATTATATTCTTTAAATGTCAGGAATATTCCTTATAATTACATTTCTGTGGTATGCTAAGGGGATGTCAGTCAAGGGCACCCTGAAGCAATGCAATTCAAATGCACTTTGGTTGTTTTACTTTCCTTTTTGTAAGACCTTGTGACATTAACAAACCTGAGGATAAACTTTACCAAGCTCCATACCCTGGGGGATACTTTACTTGGAAGGAAGCAGAATGGGTCCCTTGATAAATACTACTATGCGCTGTATGAGATGGTCATTCGAGGAAGCTGTTTTTGCAATGGCCATGCCAGTGAATGTGGCCCTATGCAGAAGGTGCGTGGAGATGTTTTCAGCCCTCCAGCAATGGTGAGTTATTATCCAAAAGAGCAACTGGCTTTCCTTCCCATCTTTTGCTGTCCTGGTACTAAATGTAGACCAGAACTGTATATGCAGTTCAACAAATCCTAGTGCCAGTTTTGCAAGTGGCAGATATCACTGAACCTTGCCCCACAGGCCATCTCAGGTCCCACAGGCTTCCCAATTCCTCTAGCCAGAGATGCTTTTGGATTCTGCCACCTATGGGTATCTCTCAACTCATGAACAGAATTTATAATTTCAACTTTTTGTTTATTCATTTTTTAGGATGTACAGATTTGATAGTAATGAACCAGAATTTCACATTCATTCTCTCACAAAAAATTATTTACTGTCTTTTGGATGAAAGACCCGTATTCAAAGCTAGTGTTTCAGTAATATCCGATATTATAAAAATGGTCAACCCATGTGACATTCTTGTACTCTGAACAAGTTTCAGTACTGCATATCTCTCTCATTCTCAGGACTAGTCTTTTGTTGTTGTTGTTATTGTTTTTGTGGTGCTGGGAATTTAAACCAGGGCCTCAAATGTTCTACATAAATGCTGTACCACTGAGCTACACTCCAGCCCGAGAACTATAGTTTTGTGCTAAGCTCAAGGGTGTGTCTATTAAACCACCTCAAATTATTTATTAGGCACAGCGACCTCAGCCCTGGCTGTGGAGGCCATTGCACTTTCCAACCTGCCACCTTTGTTTCTCCGGAAATGTAGCTACTCTCTCTGAACATGGGCCATGTAGAGCATTTTACGAAAGCACAATGGAATCACAAATCTTTGTCCAGCTTCTTCCCCTTTTCTGACTCCCAATTTTCCCTTCTCCCAAAGTGCCATCTTGTTCCTCATTTTACTGAGGGCTGCAATGTTCTGCTTTGAAATAAGAACTCAAAAAAGCCGAAAAAATTACTGAAAATATTGACTGAGCTTCTGAAAATTTTAAACTTTAAAAGCTGGTTGAGCAAGTCAACATTGATATTATCATTGGTACATGGAGAACTAAAAATCACAGAGGGCCCATGGCTTGGTATTTCATTTTCCAAATAAAGAACCCTATCCTCCTCAAAAACAAGCCCTATTTTAACACTGTTTTTTACACAACACAGGTTCATGGTCACTGTGTCTGTCAGCACAATACAGATGGCCCCAACTGTGAGAGATGCAAGGATTTCTTCCAAGATGCTCCTTGGAGACCAGCTGTGGGCTCTCAGGACAACACTTGCAGATGTGGGTGAAAATGAATTCTCACATAGCCTGAGCGTGCTTTCCTTGCTTTCACTGATGTGGGGCTGCAGGGAACAGAGGGAATGAAACTGTGACTCCTAGCTGCAATTGTGTGATGTCCTAATTGTCCCAATTATCTCAGGTGGAAGAATCACCAACTTCCCAAATTAGCTTTTAAAAGGAAAGAATATGCATGTTGTGTGGCACATTTTCAGAGGAGGGACAGAGCGTTGTGATGGCAGAATGGCAGAGAGCAATGCAGGTCCAAGAATCTGATGAACGATGAACACTAGAGTTGGTCCAGAGATCTTCCTGCATAATCATGCATTCCATGAACATAACCTCAAACCCACATATTGGCTAATAGGATAAAGGAAGTCCAGGATTGAGTTTGATAGGCTATGGTATTTTTTATGAACTATTTAGGTCAATAAGGGGCTATTTTACTTTTTGACAACATGTTTACTGCCTCTAAATTTTGATGAACTTCCAAACAATCTTGTTATTCCGTTTCTTTTCCCAGATTTAGGAAAAATAGGACTTAAGGGAATGAAAAGTTCCCTAGAAGAGCTCTAATGAAAAAGCCCCATCTGTGACAATCACAGCATACCAGAGCCAGCAAAACACGGGCCAAGTTTAAGCTGTTTGCACAGACATTACCACAAAGACAAACAAATTCCTCCAAATGACCATCTGGTACTCTAGGTCTTTAGCAGAGCCCCAGAGAAGCTGAAAATGACCTGCAGCCACCCTTCCAAGTTCTCTGATCCTACCCAAGGACAGAAACTAAACAGGGCTCAGCTCCACCATCTTATTTGAGAATACCAGTGCATATAGAACATTTCAGGTTAAAAAAGTCAAATTTACAAAGTATACATAAGTCAGTAAAAGTGTTCCTTTTTTTTTTTTTTTTTTTTGGCATGGCAGTAATGGGAAGTGGGATGTTGAACTCAGAGCTTGCTAGGCAGGCACTCTATCACTTGAGCCACTCCGCCATCCCTAGTAAAATATTCTTTACTGCACACTGCAAATACTGTACTCTATGGCTTCTAGATGACCTACATGATTTATTTTTGTTTACACAATTTTGCAAGGTACACATTAAACACTGAGGGAACACATTTCATAGAAAGCACTTGAGCAGCATCAAAACGTTAGACTGTCCCTGGGAAGTACCTGCCCGGGCCTTGGTACCCTCAGAGCGTCCCCTAAGAGAAGGGCGTGGAGGATGAGACGATGGAGGAGGGCCACGGCTCGCTCTACCAAGACCCTCAAGTCACTCAGGCTCCTTCCTTTCCTTTCTCAGCGTGCACCTGCAACGGCCACTCTGACCGCTGTCACTTTGACATGACCACGTACCTGGTGAGCGGTGGCCTCAGCGGAGGCGTGTGTGAGGACTGCCAGCACCACACTGAGGGCCAGCACTGTGACCGCTGCAGTCCCCTTTTCTACAGGGATCCCCTCAAGGCCATCTCGGATCCCTACGCGTGCCTCCGTGAGTTCCACCCTCATCTGGTCCTTTCCCCTTGTCTGAGCAAACTCTGGTCTGGTTTCCCTTGCCTGCCTGTCCCCACTCTGCCTAACAGGGGCTCCAAATGACCCTGGGAAAGGGGTGCAAAAACACTTTAAGAGATTTTCTTTCTCCAAAAAGTAAACCAAATAATCCAGGTGGATCCTGAGAGTCTTGTAGCAGGGCATACTGGTGAATCAGGAAGTGATTTCAAATTCAGCCAGGAGGGGCTGATGGCTTCAGAGGATGCCGCAGGCCCTTTGGAGTTCTGGAAGTCAGCTCAGAGAAGTCACTAAGTAGTGGAATTGGCTAAAACGTTTGACTGTAGACAATTCAGTTTTGCTAAGATAAATGAAGTAAGGTCTCAACTTTCAAAAAACTCTTTTATCTTTAATCTCAACTTTTAAAAACTGAAATACTTCAAGCATAGACAAAATAATAGATAATAATAAAATTAACACCCTTATATAAACGCACCATCAGCTTAGTGACTTACCCTATTGCTTTTGAAACTTTTAAAAATAAAACCCAGCAGGCGATATTCAAACCCCAGTTACACATCTTCCCCATTTGCCTACCCTCCTTAGGGGCAAACACTCTTATACATTTAGTGTTTTTCATTATCTCGATTGTTTTCACACTTTCACATGTGTTTTTTCTCCACAAGCATTACATATGACATGTTTTCAAGCTATTGAGATGTTAACTAAGTGAAAATTCCAGGTCATGGGGTATGCACTTCTTAAAATTGATTAGCTAATACTGAATTGTCCTCTAGGTGAGTGTGCCAATTACCACTCACACCAGTTCTGTGTGACTTCCTGTGGCTCTATATTCTTGTCAGCACTTGATTTGTCCAGCTTTAATTTCTGCTAATCTTGGTTTTTACCACACTTTCATTTGGCTAATGAAGTAATAACTCATCACCATTTTAATTCCCATTTCTCTGCAGGCCTGGGACTAAATGAGGCAAGCAAAACACTAAGTTCCCAAATACAAGGCAGCACTACTTTCAGGGTCATATGTGAGCAGGGTAACACTGCTCACATGGATCTGAGTACAAGAACCTTCTGAAATTTTGTGCCTTAGACACCTTGCTGGCCTCCCTCTAGTCCCATCACTGCTGCATGTAATTGTGTAGATAAATATTCAACGTAATTGAACTGACCTAGTGACAGTAACTGGGCCAAATATCTTACTCTATTTATAAACTAGGAAGTTAGCCTATTACTTGTTTCATAGATGCCGGTGGAAGTCATGAAATTCCTAGGCCAAAGCCAAAGGACTCATGGCCCAGCAAGCTGTAAGATAATGATCTCATTGTCCTGGGTTCCCATGTACCCAAGTCCAATAAGGGCATCACAGAGGATACCTAGTGTGTTTATGCCACAGCCAAGGAACACTGAGCTTGGAGAATTTGTTGCTTTTGTAGCAAGTGGAAGCAAGCCTGCTGGTGGTGGCAGGAGATATTATTTCATCCTTCAAGTTGCTTGCCATGAACACAACCCTGAGAAATGACCTAGGTAAGGCGCAAACAGAGCCTTGCATCATTAGCACATTCAGCAAGGGCATTCAGGATGCCCAGGATGCATGGAGGATTGCTTCTTCCAGTACCCAGAAATCATACTGCTTAGGCTACTTTATCAATGCAATGTTAAAGCAGGTTAGGGGTATGCTATGAAAGCATACCTTCAAATTTTATATAATCTTGATAAAATGAAGTCATAAAAAGCAATTCAGTAGCTACCTGAAACATCCACTGTCCTAGATTTCAAACTTTAAATGATCACAATATAGAAAAGCATCAATGAAGTGTTTTGTTCAGATTAATTCAATAGACACCGACATAAAATGTACTTCATATGACCTGTTTGAAATTGATATAAAGGACTGAGCTCTCAGAAGGCCATTTCCTAAGTATCTTATGATTTGTAGTTTAATCTGTAAACACACACACATACTACTCACAAACTTTATTTATGTTTTTAAAGATATGTACTGATAAAAGAAGATGAAATTGCTTTCTTGGGTAGAATTAGGGAAATACAATGTTAAGAAACATGATCCAGGAATCTTGAAAGAGATTTGGAAATAATAAACTAAATGTTTTAAACACATCAACTAAGTTTTATTCCTTACGAAACCACTCGATATTAACATGGTGGTGCTTTTGGGGAAAAAAAGGAAAGAAGGCTAGTACTCGTGACATGAATTAAGAAGTCCTACATTGTAAATAAGGAGTTTTTCCATGAAAGATAGGTGAGGACATAACAGAGACTCCCCAGTTTCTCCATTTACCAAAATACATGTTTATTGTGTATATAGATGATGTGTGTTAGGAAGATGGACCAGCACTCTTGTATAACTTTTCTCTAAAAGTTGTCCTTTGTTGAACCTAAATATTTATGTAAATAGATTCCAGGCATAAGAGTTGATTAAATTTAAGTCTTCTACAATTAAAACATAGTTAAATTTTCTTAATTTTTTGGCTTCTTTTTTTTATTGTTGTGCTGGATAGGGGTACATTGTGGCATTTATAAAAGTTCTTACAATATATCAAATATATCGTACTTGAATTCACCCCTCCATCATTCTCCTTTATCCCCTGTCCCCCCATTCCGGGAACAGTTTCAACAGGTCTCATTTTTCCATTTACATACATGTGCACGCAGTATTTGCACCATATTCACCCTCCTACACCCTCTTCCCACCTCCTTCCCCCACCCACTGGTACCAGTCCCCCCAGACAGAACTTGTTCTACCCTCCTGTTCTCCAACTTTGTAAAAGAAAAAAATGACATTTTTGTTTGTTTAAAATAGCTATGCAGGGAGTTTCCTTGTGACATTTCCATGCATAGATGTATTATAGCCCGAATTGTTTCATCTCCTCTATTTTTCTTCTTTCTACCTTAGTCCCCCTTCTATGGTTGTTTCAACAGGTTTAAATATTCTACATTCATTCTTATATAAGGAGTATATCAACCATATTCACCTTCTTAACTTCCTTCTTTTACCTTCCCCATTGTATGTGACCTCCCCTTAGCGTGACCAGACACAGTGAAATGTAATACCAAAAAACCTGAGACTTGGTACACTCGACTGATAATAGAAGTTTGCTAGAGTTAAACTGTGTGGCACCCAGAGGTTTTACTGGACTTCTAAAGGCCAAGGGTTATTTCAAAGTCAAGTCCCTTTCCACTGGTCTGTCCCAAAGGGTACCTCTGTGTGTAATTAAGTTATGCTCTGGAACTCTGGAGTTACTCCCAAGTAAAACAGCCTTTTCCTTTTAGCCACTTTTAAAATGAACCCAATTTATTCCTTCTTTTTGGAAGCAAATAGCTTTAATTAGAAGAAAATCGTGGAGTTTTCTCCAAACTAAACAGAGCCCAATGCTGTTTTTCCATAGTAAGGTTTTTATCTCTAGTCACAATCCAATAACAAACAATAAAACTTGGAAGATTCTGTCAGCCAACTAACCATTTGCTTCAATGACACCAAACAACCAGTCTGACTGGATTTTTCCCACTGAACTCACTAACTTAAGTGGTTGTTATGTAGACAGAGCTTTATACTTGAGGGGTTTTGTGTTTATTATCCAAAGCAAACATGTATAAATATGGACAAGATTGTTCTTTAAGATCTAGATGTTTGTTTTTTATGTTTATTGCATTACTTAAAAGTGGAATCCTTTGGAAACACAGCACCACAAAGAAGCAAGCGAACTTGCTTTGGTCATCTAATGCCTACCAACAGGCTGGTCCTCTCTACCAAACTCATGTGCTGTTTATGTGTCTATCTGACTCCAGGAATGAGGGGCTCACCACTACACTGGGCAACCCTAACTGATAGAGAGTTTTTCCTTATACTTAGTCAAGGTCTGCCTCTTGTAATTCCTCTAGTCCTTGTTCTGCCCGCTGGAATTATTCATTCTAACCGCATTCTTTTCCATGACATTCCTTCCTTGAGCCATTCAGATTTCTACTAAAATAAGGCTGCTGCTTTTGTTGCTCCCTTGCTATCCATGTCTGTTGATCCCATTTTCCAGAATCTCTTCATCCAAGTTTTGCCTCATCATCAGATTTCCAGAAAGAAACAAGAATACGAATATGTCTTACTGTTCTCTCCCTTTCTTTTTGCAGGCCTTCTAGGAACAATCAAAAAGAATGAGAGCACTTTCTTGATGACGTTTTTTTCCATGATGAACAGACTTATCTTTTAACCAGAGATTCAGTGGACATTGTGTGGGAGTTCTTTCACTTGCTTTTTCATGTCCCTGGCAATAAGATACACATCATCCCTACATCTCACTTGAAATTGTCTCTTGACCCTATTTTCACCTCTCAGTTTTTTTCTTTTTGTTAAATCTATTTTTCTTATTGAGTTGAAATTCATATAACATAAAATTAACCATTTTTAAATGAGCAATTCACTGACCCAATGTTTTGTGCAACCACCTACATCTACTTAGACTGAAAATTAACCATTTTTAAATGAGCGATTCACTGACCCAATGTTTTGTGCAACCACCTACATCTACTTAGACTGAAAATATTTTCATTTTCCCCAAAAGAATTGATTCATTGTTTTTTAAAATTTCATTGTTTTTGAATTAGCATACATTAGTACAAGGTGGTTTCATTTTGATAATTCCATATATGCACACAGTGTACTTTTAAACAAGTTCATGCCCTCCATTATATTCCCATTCTCTCTCCCCCTCCCTCTTTTTTCAAATTATACAACAGAGTCATGGTGACAAAAGCAGCATGGTACCAGCACAAAAACAGAACAGAACAGAATAATAAACTCACATACCTACAGCCATCTCATCTTTGACAAAGGAGCCAAAAACATATGCTGGAGAAAACACAGCCTCTTCAACAAATGTTGCCGGGAAAACTGGTTATCTACATGCAGAAGACTGAAACTAGGCACTAACTCTCACCCTGTACAAAAATCAACTCGAAATAGATCAAAGCCCTGTTTTAAGGGCTTTGTGTATTGATTTTTCTATTTCTGTGAAGAATGACATTGGAGTTTTGATGGACATCACATCAAATCTATAGATGACTTTTGGTAGTATAGACATTTTCATGGTATTTATTCTACGAATCTATAAACATGGGAGATCGTTCCATCTTCTGGTGTCTTCTTCAGTTTCTTTCCGTAGGGTTTTATAGTTTCCATTGTTTCACCTCCTTGGTTAAGTTTATACCTAGGTATTTCTACTATTTTGGAATTGTTTTCCTGATTTCTTTCTCAGCATGCTCATTGTTAGTATATAGAAAAGCTACTGACTTTTATATGTTGATATTATATCCTGCTACACTGCCAAAAGTGTTTATCAGAGCTATGAGTTTTTTGGTGGAATCTTCAGGATCTTTTAAGTATAGAATCATATCATCTTCAAATAGGAATAATTTGACTTCTTCCTTCCCCTATTTGAATCCACTTTGTTTCTTCCTCCTGTTTTATTGCTCTGACTAGGAATTCCTAAATTTTTTGAATAAAAATGGGAAGAGTGGACACCTTTGGCTCTTTCCTGACTTTAGTGGAAATGGTTTCAGTTTTTTTCCCATTTAGTATGATGTTAGCTATAACTTTATTACATATAGCTTTTATTATGTTGAGGTACATAACTTCTATTCAGAACTTTTATCATAAAAGGATGTTGAATTTTGTCAAAGGCTTTTTCTGCATCAATTTAGATAATCATGTGATTTTTGTCCTTGATTCTGTTTACATACTATATTACATTTACTGATTTACATATGTTAAACCATCCTTGTATCCCTGGAATGAAACCAACTTGATCATGGCATATGATCTTCTTAATGTATTGTTGAACTTGGTGTGCAAGTTTTTTATTGAGAGTTTTTGAGTCTATACTCATTAAAAAGATTGGCCTATAATTCTTTTTCATTGTGTCCTTATTCAATTTTGGAATGAGTATAATATTGGCTTCATAGAATGAGTTTTTTTCCTTTCTATATCATGGAAAAATTTAGTTCTTCTTTAAAGATCTTGTAGAATTCAGCAATGATGCCATCATGACCTGGGCTTTTCTTTGTTGGGAAACTATTACTGTTTCAATCTCATTGCTTATTATAGATCTGTTAGGTGATTTATCCTCTTGATTCGATTTTTGTAGGTCAAGCGCATCTAGAGATTTAACCATTTCTTCTATATTTTCCAGTTTACTTGAATATAGGTTTTCCAACTATCCCTTATGATCCTCTAGATTTTACTGGGATTTGTTGTGATATCCCTTTTTTCATCTATAATTTTCTTAATTTGGGCATTTAAGGGTTTACAATATTATTTATCTTTTTGAAGAACTAACTTTTTGGTTCATTGATTCTTTGCATAGTTTTTTGGGGACAGGAAATCTCTATTTCATTAATTTTGACCCTAATCTTTATTATTTATTTCTGTCTGCTAATTTTGAGTTTGGCTTGTTCTTATTTTTCTAGGAACTTGAGGTGTATCATTAAGCTATTTACTTGAGCTCTCTCTGTATTTTTTATTGTAGGTGCTCAGAGTTATAAACTTTACTTTTAACATTGTCTCTGCTGTGTCCCATAGTTTCCAGTAGGATGTGTTTTTATTTTCATTAGATGCTAGGAATTTTTTGATTCCCTCCTTTATTTCTTCAGTGTCCTACTGGTTATTCAACAGTGCACTATTTGTTCAGTCTCCATGTGTTTGAATATATTCTGTAGTTTCTTTTGCTGTTGAGTTCTAGTCTTACTCCTTATGGTTCAGTAGGATACAGGGAGTTATTTCAACTTTCTTATATTTGCTAAGATTTGCATTGTGTCCTAACATATGATCTATTTTGGAAAAAGTTCCATGTGCTGCTGAGAAGAATGTGCATTGTGCAGCTGCTGGACAAAATACTCTGTCAAATCCATTTGGACTATAGTTTCATTTAACTTTGAGGTTTCCTTGTTGATTTTTTGTCTGTATGACCTATCTATTGGTAATAGTGTGCTATTGAGGTGTTCCGCTATCGTTGTGTTGATGTTGGGGACTATCTGTGCTTTTAAGTCCAGTAGAGTTTGTTTAATAAAGTTGGGTGCACTGACATTTGGTGCATATATGCTAACAATTGTTATTTCCTCTTGGTGGATTGTTCCCTTTATTAATATGAAGTGACCTGCTTTGTCTCTTCTGAATATTTTTGGTTTGAAGTCTGCTTTATCAGATATGAGTATAGCTACTCCTACCTGCTTTCAGGGCCCATTTGCTTGGAAGATCTTTTTCCACCCTTTCAATGCAATGTCTATTTAGGTCAGTGAGATGCATTTCTTGTAGGGAAATGGTCAGTTCTTGCTTTTTAATCCAACTCCTGAGGCCGTTAACATTCAGTATTAATATTGAAACATATATAGTAATTCCTGCCATTTTGTGGCTTTCTTTTTTTTTAGTGTTTTTTTTTTCTATTCTTCATTTGCTTATCCACTTGTCTGGTGAGATTTATTACCCCCATATTTTCATGGTTACATTTATCTTCCTTTTCTGTGTGTAGCGTTCCTTTAAGTATCTTCTGCAGTTGGGGATAGTAGTCATAAATTGCTTTATTTTTGTGTATCATGGAAGGTTTTTATTTCTCCTTCAGTTATGAATGATAGCTTTGCTGGGTAGAATAATATAGATTGACAGTTATTTTCCTTCAGCACTTGAAATGCCTCATTCCATGCCCTCCTTGCTTTTTAAAGTTTCTGTTGAGAAATCTGTTGTTATTCTGATGGGTTTGCCTTTATAGATGACTTGGTGCTTCTTCCTTGTAGCTGTCAATATTCTTTTCTTATTCTCTGTTCTTAGTGTTTTAAGTATAACATGCTGTGGAGAGGTTCTAGAATTCATTTATTCTTAACATCTAATTTTCAAAACAACCATCTTCCTCTGGTCTTCTGATTTTAGAAGCATTTAAAAGTCTTTTTAAATATATACGTATAGAATTTCCCAACATTTTCCAAGTCCAGAAATCTAGGAGACATTTCTGAACAGCCTTTGACAGTCTAAATATGTAAATATAATTAATTATTTAAACAGCGTTAAATAAGTTCTAGCTTGGGTAAAATGTTATGCTTATATTCAGGTTCCCCACAGTTTGCAAGTAACTGAGACAAGGCATTTCTGTGTTCCAGCTTGTGAATGTGACCCTGACGGGACCATATCTGGTGGCATTTGTGTGAGCCACTCTGATCCTGCTCTGGGGTCAGTGGCTGGCCGGTGCCTGTGTAAGGAGAATGTTGAAGGAGCCAACTGCAACCAGTGCAAACCCAACCACTTCGGACTGAGTGCTTCGGACACGCTGGGCTGCAGACGTAAGTCCGCAGGGCTGGGTCATCAACCTGTGTGCATGTTAAAGCTTGACGCTTTCTCTCTCGGCCCTAAAATTCACTCACCGTAAACACCCACGAGTCCTGGCAGCCTCTGTGTTTTTTAAAAGTGATACAATACCTCCCACAACTTTTTGGAAATTGGTGGACTTTTCTCCATAGCTTAGTGAGTGTATCATAAGAACCAGCAGAGGGCGCTCACATTTCCCCTCTAGATAAATGGAAAATTACCAAGAAATTTAATGTCAAATTGTGAAAGTGCTAGAAAAAATGGCTTCCATGGGTGTAGCCAAACACAATCCTCTTGGTTAGTATAAAGCCAACAATCACAACCAGACGATAAAGGAATATAAAAGATTTATTATCTACAGAGGATAATAAGGGGAGCCCTGAAGTTATTACAAAAGAAATGCCCTCCTAGAGCAAAGGGATTGAAAGTGCATTAGTATAGGGTTTGACCCTAAGGGTGCCTGGCTCACTTAGCTGCTAGCAATTGGCCTCCAGATCTAATCTCATGCATTTTGATAGCTCCTTGGGCAATTTTCCAGCTGTGGTTTCTTTTCTTTCTTTTCTAAATTATTTTTCCCTTTTGTTTTCACATCCTTCCTAATACTGATTCATAAATTCTTTGGCAAAGAGAGGGGAAAAGAGCAAGGACAAGGTTGAGGAGAAATGGAAGCTCAGCCGTCTTCTGGGGTCAAATGGGCAGACCCTTGGCTATAGAATCACAGATGTTTAGGACGGCTTAGGGCTTCCACAGTCCTGTAGATTCCTCAGGGAATCTGAGTCACAGCTTCATGCTCCATATTTTGCCAGCTAAGGAGCTTGGGTTGTCTGCATGTTTAGAAAGCAACAAGCTGAATCTTTCTGTTATAAAATACATTTAAAAAACTTGAAAGTTTTTTTTTTTTGGTAGGACTAGAGTTTGAACTCAGAGCTTCATGCTTGCAAAGCAGGCACTCTACTGCTTGAGCCACACCTCCAGTCCATTTTGCTCTAGTTATTTTAGAGCTGGGAGGGAGGGTTCTCACAAACTATTTGCCCAGGCTGGCCTTGAACCTTGATCCTCCCAATCTCAGCCTCTCAAGTTCTAGAATTACAGGCATGAGCCACAGTGCCTAGCTATCCCCAAACCTTTCAACTACCACTTCCCTATGCTCCCCACTCTCTCAACCCTAGGCAAGCCCTGATCTATGTTCTGTCATTATAGATTTGGTGATTATGAATGTTTCATGCAAAAGAAATCATATAATAGTGGTCTTTTGTGACTCGCTTATTCACTTAGCTTTCTGTTTACAAGGTTAACCATATTATAGCATGTACCAGTACTTTTCTTGGCTGAGTAATATTCCATTGTATAGATATACCACACTTGATTTATCCATTCATCAGTTGAGGCACATTTGGGTTGTTTCCTTGCATATGGTTTTTCCTATAGAGGAAGATAATACCTTGCTTTGGTAGCAAGACTTCTTAGACTTCACATCATAAGCAGGATGTGGAAAGGACTATGGTTGGAAGACAGAAAGGGGAGAATGAAGAGAAAAAAATAATGCAGAAAGAAAAAAGGAAGGGAGGAAGGAAGGAACAGAAGGAAGGAAGGAGAGAAAGAGAGTAAAAGAAAAAGAAAGAAAGAAGAAAAAAGAAAAGGAAATGTTAGGTGTATCTGCTAGAGAGGGAGCTGTCAGTGATAACCGTGACATCTAGAAACTGCTGCCTCTGAGTCACTCAGCCTGGCCTGCATGGCTCAAGGTAGCTGGCAATGCCCCAGCTTATTCAGCCTCCTGATTGCCATCCAGTAGAACTATGTAAGAATTCTGGTTGTGTCCTGTGTGGGATATCTTCTGTGGGGTTGTACACAGTACAATAACCATGCATCCACAATAAACCTGGTGGTGTTGGGGAGCTGCTCTGTGTACTTGTGGCCATGCATTTTGCTCAGTGTGAACAATTGAAAGACATTTACAAGAGTGGGGAAATTAAGAATAATTGTGTATGCTGTGCTTTCAGCCTGCAACTGTCACCCCCTTGGGAGTCTGCCATCCTCAACTTGTGATGTGGACACAGGCCAATGCTTGTGCCAGCCCTATGCCTCTGGACTACGCTGTGAAGAGTGCATTGTATGTATTTGTCTAGAATTTTCTTTTTACACAGTGAAGTAAAAGGATTTCTGCTGGCAAAGCCCAGAGAAGACTTGGTCTTGTTAATTGCATTCTTTGTTCTATTGTGTCTCAGTACTCCTGTGGTATAAGTCTTCATACTTCAGAAATTGGCACACTGTTCATCAGCCTCCCCACCCCTAACTCCCTCAGAGAGCTGGCTGTTAAACATTTACCAGCACACCACTGGATTGGACTGAACCCACCCAGCAGAGATGGCAATAGGTTTATCCACTGCTTTTTTCTGAGAGTGCTAGACAGTAGAATAGAAGAACATTTATCTACCCCCCTTTTTCAGCCCACCAGACTTTATCTCATGGACACAATCCCCTTATTACCTCTGCCACTCTCTGCTTAAAAATATTTTTGTCTTTTTCTTCCCTTTTTGCTTAAAAATATTTTAGTTAAGCTCTTAAAAAATAACAACTTGGATTTAAATGTATTTTAGATTCCTGTGGGAAATAAACTCTTGGATTTTTCACAGACACCACTAAACATACGAGCATGCATATTCTAAAATTAGTGAAATAAAACATTTTCACTCTGTAAGAAATGTGTCATGCAATTGGAGAGTTCAAGCCCAGCTCTCTTCTTTGTTCTCCAACCTTGGCAGCCCACCATGACATTTTACACAGAGAAAAACAAAAACTTAACCTAATAAAAGAACAGTGACCTTGATGTATCTGAAGAAATGTAGCTGATAAATAAGAAACATATGCCTATGAGGAAATAGTTTTAGGCTAATATTTTCAGTCGTTTTCCTGAAAACAGGATGGGGTAGAGGCAGGGGGAAAAGAAGGGACTCTTGTCAGACAGGTCAAGCAATCTAGAAGTTTTGTATAAAATAAAAAGAAGGTTCAGCCCCATCAATCTCTAGGACTATGCTTGTGCAACAGGAAGAAGGTCATACTGTTGTATGGCAGGATTGGAGACACCAAATCGGATCATCACAAACAAACCATAATCTCAGGCTGACTTTTTGCTGGGTGGCTATTTGCCATGTTTGTGGTATAGACTCAGCTGTGTTTGCAGGAGGAAAACAATTGAGCAGGGCCCACCCGAGGTGGGTTGTCCATCATGGGTGAATCTCATCATCCACTAGGTCACCCCCGTCCACATCTAGCTGATGGTGCTCCACACTGCCCTGAATGACTGACGTGACCATGTATCCTGGCTCAAGGGAGTCTTCATCACATCTTGAGTGAAACAATTCATTTCACATTTTTTCCCTTAAACTGGGAAAAGTTTGGTTTGGGGAAATAATATCAAAAATCCTTTGCTGTGTTTTTGATACATTCTGTCAATGTTTAATGTTTAAAATAATTTCTGAGGAAAATTGGTCATAAAATTTATAAAGATAAAAAAATATGAATAGTTAACACCATTCCAAACAAGAATTTCATGCCTAGCCTACTAAAATCTACATTATATCTGAGCATATGAGATTTGAGAAGGAAGAATTTTTCCGAGGGTTTTACACTAAATGTTATCAGAATTTAAAGAAATAGTTGTTTGTATCTTACCAGCTGCTTGTATTAAATAAAGGTCAAGATGTTGCAATGATCAAGAAGTCTTGAACCATAGAGTTGACTGTCTGACACAGATTCACACTGTGCCAAAACAGCTGGTACATGAATAATTGTCTCTACTGGACTGTGATAGTCACAGAATATCTTAAAATCAGCTCCATTGATTTTTCTGCTCCAAATATTCAGTGTGGCATAAGTCAACTCCCTAGGGATTGTTGTGGTAAGGGAACCTATGAATTTTACTAAAACAGTTGCAAATAGGGTGATAGGAGAATTGACCCAACTTAAGCAAAAACTCATCAGTTAGAGGAATTCTTGGCTTCCACTACATTCTCCTTGAAGCCGTACATGGACTGCTTCATTTACATTAAATGCTGTCCCATTTACTCAAGTCCTGGAGGTGGGAGAGATGATCTCCAAGTGTGCAGGCCAGGAAAGCTACTGTGTGATTGGCCAGGATGTTTGGCTAGTTGATATATGCAGTTTCACTGTAGTGATTTCAATATTATATTTCAGAGCAGCAAATATCTTCCCAGCTGGACCCAACTGAGCTCTTTCTCTCTATAGGTTGGGTACTGGGGCCTGGGGGACCATCTCCATGAATGCTCTCCCTGTGACTGTGATGCTGGAGGTGCTTATTCTAACATGTAAGTCAGCAAAATGAATAATGAATTTTTGTACCAATATTCCTTATTTCCACAAGAAAGCACATTCTATTCTGATCTGCCCATGGTTACATGATAAGCAAAGGATGTTGAAAAGCAACAGCCTCAAGAGGTTCAACAGCCTGATTGACTTCTTGTGCCTCATGTGTCTCCAAAGGTGAAATAAACAATCTTCCTGCCTGGGTATCCTACAAAGTGGTGGGATGGATGACTAAAAACTTGTGATTTGACCTGCCTATAACTTTGTGTCATCCTGCAAAGGGAGATCATAAGGTTCTCCTTTTCCCAATTTTTAGAACAAAACAAGAGAGCCATCAAGGCAAGAGGTGGTGACTTGGGTTCCCTAGACCTGAATTTGTTTGTCAAGATCAGCAACAGTAGAGTCCACAGGCTCAACATCCTCCCACAGAACTATTGGTAGTACCCCCATACCTTCACTTCACATTCGCCTCCTCCACATTTCCTCACAATGTGTTCTTTCCTTCAGGTGTTCACCCAAGGATGGACAGTGTGAGTGTCGCCCACATATCACTGCCCGCACCTGCACTGAACCTGTGCCTGGGTACTTCTTTGCTCCATTGAATTTCTACCTGTATGAGGCAGAGGAAGCGACACCACTCCAAGGACTTGCACCTTTGGTTTGTATTTCATTTTCTCTCCTCAGAGACTTCATTTGATGGCATGTCGGTTAATTCAGGCAGCACATACTTGAGATCATGGTTAAGGTAACTGGGACAGAATGCTTTTACCTAAAGATGCAAATCAAAATAGTGTTGCATCATGAAATTGCAGATTATATAAATTTCAAGGACAGAGTCTGTGTTTTGCTTTTCTTTGTATCCCAGTTCTAGCACAGAGCTGGCACATAAATGCAAATTAGATCAAATTGTGACAAAACAGACTCTACTCTGCTCTTTCAGTGCACTCACCAGATAAAATGTGTTTCCTGACCATCTATTTCTCTATCTCCCCATGATACTATAAATTCTAAAGGGGGTGTGTATTGCATGCACCAGTGTTACACTGTTTTCCAGCACAGTGCTGGACACAGAGTAGGGAGTTTATGGATATCTGATAATGAGTGAATAAAGTTTACAAGATTCTTAACAGTGTGGCTCCAGTCAGAGTTAGAAATATGGGACAGGAAAGAGTGATTCAAGATGAAAGGCTTTAAAGGGAGATAGCACATGAAAGAGAGTCCTGAAGACAGGATTTAGATAAAGAAGGGAGGGGACTTCATTCCAAGTTCCAAGGTCCAAGTCATTTCCTGGGATTTCTTCTTTAGACAGTTGGTAGGGAGAGATGACAGTTCTTTTAATGACTAAAATTATAGCAAGAGACTTTCACTGCTCCTACTTTGACATTCAGCTGAGGAGGGTAGGATCAAAATGCAACAATCCTATGCTTGCATTCTTCTTCACAGGTTTTAGTATAGCATCTTTATGATGGCAACTAAACAAAACAACTTTTGGAAGGGAATTTAGACCCATAACTATAAATACAATAGTTCCCATGTTTTAGATAAGAAAATACAAAACAAACATTATCTAAAATAGATGGGCTATTTAGTTACTTAACAAAAATTTAGAATTTGCCAATAAGCTATTAAATAGGATAATATCAAGATACTAAGACATCTCTCAATGGAGGGTTATTGAGTGACCAAAAATGATGGCTTCATTTGTTGGGGGGTCATGTCACTCATGACACGAATACTGATTATTCCCTCCATGGCTTAAAGAAAAAAATGAGGACAGAGAATAGTTTTAAAGGGCAAATAAATAACTTTTCCTAAAAGATTAGAAAGTAACACCTACGGCAAAAGAAAGAAAGTCCAAGATGGTATTGGCAGTGTTTAAAAGGCAGCAATGTGATAACTTTCTTCCTCTGCTGAGGATATGATCTTTCATTGTATTAGAACAGATTTAAATTGGGCACCATCTAATTATTTGCGTATTCATTTGGACCTGTTTACATCGTGCTTACTGTGCTGCTGCTGCTAAGATGGATTTTTTTTTTAAACTTCCACTGGTTTAATACTCTGTTTCATATTTCATATCCGTTATCTCATGTGACTGCCCAATCAGCCTGAGTATTAACATCCCTAATTTCCAGATGAGGGAAAACATAAGAGAAGTGAAGTAAGTTGGCCACAGTCACACAGGTAGTAGACAATGGTGCCTAGACTGAAACTCTGGTACACCTTGTTAGAAAACTCTAATTCTTCCCCATTAACACACAAATGTACAAAATGCTGAACTCTGGGCGAAGTGCAGCATTAAAAGGGATTCATTAGCATCCTTGGTCCATGAGTTCCTATTGCAGCTAATGCCTTTGGAGAGATGGCTCAAAATGGGGCCGAGTGAGGGCAGTGCTGTCTGATAAGGAGCATCTAGAAGTATGTGAGGACTTCTGTACCATGAGAGCGCTCTTAAAAATGGACTTAGTACATAGGTAGAATAAGTTGGTCTGAGATTTGAAAGCAAAGGGATTTCAATTGTAGAATAGATAAGAAGACAATCCCGCCAGAGAAAGTTACGAGTAACATCTCAGAGGAAACTCAATACAGGTGTATCAGCAATAGGGCAGGGAGTTAAAATAGAGAAGTGGGAAATAAATTTAGTCTCCTCCTAGTGTTAGAAACTAAATTTTATTCTTTGGGCAACAAAAATCTCATTGAAACTTTCTGAGCGAGAAAATTATGTGATGAGGACAGGCATGGTGGCTCACTCCTGTAAATCCCAGCTACTTACATTGGGGAGATTGGAAAAATAGTTGTTTGAGGCCAGCCTGGGGAAAAATGTTCACATGACCCCATCTCAACCAATAAAAATTGGGTTTGGTGGCACACGCCTGTCATCCCAACTACACAGGAAGCAGAAATAGGAGGATCATGATCCAGACTGCCGAAAGCATAAACACAAGACCCTACCTGAAAAATAACTGAAGCAAAAAGGGCTGGGGGTATGGCATCTAACAAATGCAAGGCCCTGAGTTCGAAACCTAGTACCACAAAAAAGAAATGATATGGCGAAGACTGTCCTCAGTGTTTCTGCAAACTTAATCTAGCAGAGGAGAAGGCCAGGTTGGTGAGAAGAGCCATCTACAATTGTCCAGACAGGAAGAAATAAATTAAAACGTAGCAGGGAGAAGACAAGGATTGAAGATGGAAATATAAAGGGATGTAAACCCAAGACTGCATCTTAAGGGTAATTTGTTTCATACTCTAATTAGAGAATTAAGAAGAGTTACAATTAACTTTTTCAGTGGCTCTTTAAAAGGATATGTGTGTATATATATCCTTGGTACTTAAAATGTAACCTATAGACCTGAAATACTGGCATCACCTGGGATCTCATTAGAGGCTCAGCCTCATCCTAGACTACTGAGTCAGGTCTACATTTTAACAAGATCCCCCATGATTCCTATTCACTTTGGGAAGCACTAGCTTATTTTCTTTCAGAAACAATTTGAAAGAGAAGAGTGGGGAATGAGTCACTACTCTTCATATGGAAAAAACATAGCTTAAAGTCACAAACTAATGTTGATTGAATAAATACAATATAGAATTTAATACAGTATAGTATAGAGTTAATGTTAATTCTATAACATGTTTTCTATGTAATATTAGTAAAATCATTTATAATTTTGTTACAAGGTGAACACAATTTGTGAAGAAAAGCAAAAGGACAAGTAGATACAATCCCACTGTGGCCTGACAAAGGTTCCTCATGACAAAAAGGAGCAGTAGCTGGTCAGAGATAATGGCTGAGAGTCTGAACAGTGAACTCCAGGATAAATGGGGTTCCCAAAGCAGGTCATGGCTGATCTCAGGGCTGCAAACTCATGGCAAACAACAGGGGCTCCTGTGACATTAAAAATCTTGCTTGTAAAAACAGCAATGAAACAGCAACCAAGAAAGCACCAATATCCAGGATGCAGTGAAAACTGGAAACATGAGACAATTGGAGATTTTAACTAGGTCTTCAGCTGAGCAACCAAGAAGATGATATTTCAAAAACAAAACAAAACAAAAAAAGAAACCCATAATAAGCAGGGATGAAAGAAACTGAAGTTGCAAGGACATGATTCCTCCCCTTTAGTTTGACTGGTAGGACACAGCTATCCTGGTTAACCTCTCATGGGGACCTTAAGGACCAAATTCTATAACTGTAATAATATGAATGATTGCTTTGAAGAGTGTCAATTATAATACCTGAGAATTCTTTGAATCTCTATGCCATGTTTATTGTTTATTTTATCCAACTTTCTTCCTTAGAGTTCACATTGAAACATAGCATTGGCACTCTTTGTAAACACAACAAAACCAGTTGATTGGAATTGAATATTTTCTCAGCTGGGGCTCTGACTAGTATAGCATCTTTTAAAAGACAATCCAATGCATGGCCTTAGGTCCACCAAAACTTCCCATTTGACTACATGAAAATAAAAAGATTCTGGACAACAAAAGAAATGGTCAGCAGATTGAAGAAGCAGCCTATAGAATGAGAGAAAATCTTTGCCAGCTGTACATCTGAAAGGGATTAATAACCAGAATATATAGGGAGTTCAAAAAATTAACCTCCCCATAAATCAATGACCCAATGAAGAAATGGGCAAATGAATTGAAGAGAGATTTTTCAAAGGAAAAAGTCCAAATGGCCAAAAAAAAAAAAAAAAAAAACCACATGAAGAAATGCTCAACATCCCTGGTCATAAAGGAAATGCAAATCAAAACCGCATTAAGATTTCATCTCTTCCTGTTAGAATGGCTATCATCAAGAACACAAACAACAACAAATGTTGCCGAGGATGTTAGTACAACCACTATGGAAAACAGTATGGAGGCTCCTCAAAAAACTAAAAATAGATCTGCCATATGATCGAGTAATACCACTCCTAGGGCTATACCTGAAGGAATGTAAGTCAGGTAACAATAAAGACCCCTGCACACCCGTGTTTATTGCAGCATTATTCACAATAGCCAAGCTATGGAAACAGCCAAGATGCCCCACTACTAATGAATGGATTAAGAAAATGTGGTATTTATACACAATGGAATTTTATTGAACCATAAAGAATGAGATTTTGTCGTTTGCAGGTAAATGGATGGAACTGGAGAACTTCATCTTAAGTGAAGTTAGCCAGGCTCAGAAGGCCAAAGGCTGCATGTTTTCTCTCATGTGTGGAATATAGACCTAACACAAATACAGCAATATTGTGAAAAACGGGTCATGGTAAGCGGAGGCCACTAACAGAAGAGGAAGGGTAAAAGAAAGAAGTTAAGGAGGTGAAGATGGTTGATGTACTTTCTATACAAGAATGAATATAGGATTTTTAAACCTGTTGAAATTACCATAAGAAGGGGACAAAGGAGAAAGGAGAAAAATAGAAGGGATGAACCAATTCAAATTATAGTACAAATATACATGGAAATGTCACAATGAAGCTCCCTGTGTAGTTATCTTAAGTAATCAAAAATGTCATTTTTAAAAAACAGAGAACAGAAAGGTAAAACAGTTCCTCTCTGGGGGTTTGGTACCAGTGGGAAGGGGGAGGACACAAGGAAAGGGTGAAGGAGGTGAATGTGTGGAGATATTACGTATGCATGTATGTAAGTGGAAAAATGAGACCTATT